TCCTAGGGAAACCTAAAGACAAAGTAACTCTTAAATTACACAGTAATTATCTCTCTCCAATTATTAAAGACAGCAATGAGTACTAATTTTTTGCTTTAGGATAATATCTAAGGATTGAAGAGGGAAAGTTATACCATCAAACAAAAATACATATGAATGGAGCAATGGCAAGTGACCAAGACTGGGCTTAGCATAGATACAAGTCAAGAAAAGAGACTATGCTAGAAGTTTATTCTTTCAAAAGTATGTAAAAGTAGTAAATATTGTGAAGGCTTAGTTTGGAGTCAATGTTCTTGACATGGACAATTACAAATATGGAGATTCTCAAATCCAGTGATTTTTGTCTTGTTACTTTTTTAAATTCCTGAGCAGACTCTCTAACTGCTAAATCGACTCTTATCAAAAGCAGGGCTTGAGGATTTCACCATATTTATACAATGTTTAGACATAGTAGCCCACATAAATTATTACATTTTTCCTCATAACTGCCTTGACATTTATTTAGCATTGGCTTGAGCCTTAAAAATTTATATAATCCTATATGCTAACAACCCATAAAGCCATAAAACCTCTTGTACAAATCTCAAAGCAGGACACATTAAACATAAATATTATTTTTAGAATCATAACACCCTTGCAAATATGTTCAAGTGAGAAACTGGCTGGGAATTTGCTTTCATGTATTTTGAGGATTTCAAGATATATTTTTAGCAACTATAAAAAGCAAGGGAAAAATTGTTGCCAGACACATAAACAGAATAAAAGGACAAACTTGGTGCTTTGAAAAGATGCCATTGATAGTTACACATAAACAAGCTGAAAATTGAGTCCAACCTCCAAAAATATTTTAAGTTCAAATGTGTTACAAATCATTTCTCCCTGGCCCCTGACACAAATGTGAGCATTTTCCATATCTGCATATGTTATTACAGTGGTTTCACGGACTGTTACATATGTTTACCAAGTCAAATCTTAATGTAGCAAGGGCAGGGAACAGGCAGTAATGTTTGATGTCTTAAAAAACATCTCTCTCATCTTTGAATTTTATCATCTTTAATAGATGTAGAAAATATATAACACACTAAAGTAATCAGAGCCAAATATACAGCATTTTTTAATGAAATTACATTTTAAAGGTAGGCTTGAAGAGACAGCTCATGGGTAAGCATCTTACTACACAATTGTTCAAACCTGAGTTGGAATGTGCAGAATCCATGCAAAGTGGGACATGGAAGCTGAGTCTAAAAAATTTGTTTGCTGAGACAGGAGACAGAACTAGAGAATTATCTGGAAGCTGGTTATCCTCTAACCTGGCATGTAAAGAATAACCAAGAGATACTGTCTTGAAGTGACAGCTAAGGACGAGTACAGAGCTGTTCTCTAAGGTTCACACATGAGCTAAACTACACACATACTTATATGTTGCAAAACAAAAGGGGGAACATAGATAATTGCTAATGTGTCAGGGAGAAACGCAATCAGATCTGGCTATCAGAGCCTTAACAATAGGATTCTAGAAAACTTTCTGAGTTTTAAACACATATGGCTGCATGTACAGAAGAAATAAAGATTTTGTCCCATTCAGTGGCTTCATCAACTCTATTTTTGATCAGGAGCCAATATCCAGAATCTTCAAAAATTGTAGAAATTAAATGCCAAAGAAATAAGACTACCAAACAAAACATGTGCCAATGAATTGAGTCAACACTTTCAAAATATGAAACACAATCAGCCCATATGTATTTTTTCTCTTCTTTTTAAAATTTATTATTTTACATGTCGATCCCAGTTCCTTCTCCCTCCCTCCCTCCTTTCTTCCCTCCCTCCCTCCCTTTTACTCACATGCACCCTGACCACCCTCCCCTCCCATCCCCCACCCCAATTCCACATGTAGGGCAATGCCTATTTTTAAAGAGTTCAACATCCCTAGACATCAGAGAACACAAATTAAAACTACTCTGAGATACTACCTCATTACACCGAAAATGGCTGTCATCAGGAAATGTTGGAGAGTGTGTAGAGAGAGGAGGAGCACTCATTTATTATTTGTTGAGTGCAAATTAATTCAGCCACCATGGAAATCATATTGGTGATTACTCAAGGGGAAAAAAAATAGAACTACCTCCTGATCAAGCTATTTCACTTTGGGCACATACCGCAAGAACCTCATACCCTACCATAAAGATAGCTGTACCACTAGGTTACGTTTGTTTGCTCTACAATAGAAAAGGAATAGAACCAACTTAATTATCCATCGTAAGATGGATTGGTAGTAAAATCTGGTACATACATAAAATACTATTCAACTCTAAAGAAAGCTAAAACCACAAAATTCTCATGATCATGGTGAGATTTAAAATGTGTGAGGTTAAACAGGGTTACATGCTATCAGAAGAGAAAAACAAAAACCCAAACAGCAGCCACAAAACGCTTATTCTCCACCTCACGTAGATCCCTACATAATCAGGTGTCGATGAAGAAACGAGTGAAAGAAGGCAGTGCACTTGAGTCCATGAAAGAAGTTCTAAAACTAATTGTTTCCTAGTTATTACTCTGCCAAGAGCTTTGTGTTTCAGTGATAAACAAGAGCATAAAAAAATACCTACTCAGCTAGGCAGTGGGGGGGGGGGGCACACCTTTAATCCCAGCACCGGGAGGCAGAAGCAGGAGAATCCCTGTGAGTTCAATGAGTTCCAGGCCAGCCTGGTATATAAGAGCGGGTTCCAGGACAGGCTCCAAAGCTACACAGAGAAACCCTGTCTCGAAAAACCAAAAACACTAAAAACAAACAAACCATACCGACTCATGAAAGTGCAAAATCCATTGTGAGCTCCACAGCTACTGAATAGAAAGAATTGCTATTGTAATGGTATAAAACTTCACTGAGATGTGTCAACTTTCGGTCTGATTAATTTCGCTGTGATGTTTTCATTTTCAAAATCTTTACAGTAATATATATGGTATATATATGTCATATATACCACATATATATATATGACATATATATAAATATATATATATATATATATTTTTTTTAAAGAAATGAAGCCAAATTGATGTCTGTGTTTGAAACCATTTTGCCACCCTCTGACACTTTATGCCTGTCAGAGCTGTGTAAACACCGAAGCCTCACCGAGCCAGAAGGCTTCTGCTGGTCTTCCATTTCTTTAGCTCAAAATGAAATTATCCGGGGGGGGGGGGGAGAAGTGTCAATGGAATGTTTAGGAAGGGCTGCATTTTAAACTTTTATCTTCCTTTCAAAGTGCTCGGGGATCTGTTTCTCTTCCAAGTCACTAAGAGCAAGAGCATCTCTGTAACCTCCCTCGCTTCTCACATCTTTTATCTCGCCTGTGGTGTCAAAAGATGGAGCTAGGCCAACAGTCACAGGCGATTGCCAGAAAAACAAAACTCCTGCTGCTGGGGATTCTGGATGTGTCAGACAAATTCCAGAGACATTTTGCTTTGCAGAGCGAAAGAAGGAAACCATCTCGACAGTGACTTGAGCAGAGCACTACCCTCTCATCGGTGCTATGGACCAGGATTCCCCGGCCACGTGGATGATAGCCCAGATCACTACAAAGAGAAGTCCAGTATTCAAACTTGCACTAGACATGGCAATCAAGCCATACCACTTCAGAACCTTGGCAGAGCAATGGCTTGAAGCACAAAGCTTCCATCTACCACATGAAATAGCATTCAGAATATATCCTACAGAGTTTCAAAGACTTAAAACTGCTGGGGAGGGCTATAAGAGGGCATTTAACACATATACTTTTAACAGAACATAAATATTTTAAATATATATTGTTATCATTTCCAGCATTTCCAGGATCCTACCACCATTCAAGATCCATCAGCATTCAGGCAAAATGCCTAGTCATTCCAGGGCCTTATGTAACATTAGGTACATAAGCAGCATGGCCAAGTAATCTATGTGCATCCACGGCATAGCTACAAAAGCCCCTACCCGCATGCTCCCAGTAACCTTTAAAAGTAGATATGCACACCTCACTCTGGTCACATTTCTTACAGACAGGCCTGTGCATACCCCCGCTTCCTTTTACCCACTCTTTACTAATAAAACCCTTAAGAGTTGATTTTGTTGTATATCTTGTGGTCTGTTTTCATGCACAGTAAATAACATTATATATATTTACTAGAGTATTTTATATTAACATACGGCTATGTATACACACACACATCACACACGAACGTACTCACACGTGCATGCACACATGTTCCCCCACACACACACTCACACATCCGGATATAACATACGCCTTCAGCCTGTTGGCCCAGCACAAACTCTTTAGGTTCTTTATGTCTTAGTAACTAATATGCCACTCCCACAGCCCATTATATGAGTAAGTGTAGGTCTAAATTCTGTGCTCCAGAGATTGCTTCGCCCATAATAAACACCATCTTGAGCAAAAAGTTACTACACATTTTTCTACATGTTTAATAAGTGTTACCTGATTGGATGATTGATGTACTCCAAATCTAGCCACATTTGTTGAGTTTCATGGTTCAAATTCATTGACATCAATGTTATATCCAAATATTTGATTCTCCCTGAGATGTTTATTACTTGAAGTACTTCCTAACTTGGCCACAAGGCATTCATATTATCAATGTCAAACTGAAGCAGTGGAGAGGATGTCACTTTCCATCCATCCTGCTTTGAGCAGCAACATGTGTGTATGCCATTTATTTGCAATTAGCTCCTTTCCCTCCTCCATTAGTTCTGAGCAACAGATGGTACCCTCAAAGTGTGACTTTTTGCTATTGGCATGTCCTACATTTCCTTATGATGACCAGATGTCTCTCTTGGGTTTCAGTTCTCATGGGTCTAGATAGTTTCGTTTTGCTTTCCCGCCTCCCCTCCCCCCCCCATGTATATGCACTAGGGTTAAGAAGCCAAAGACAAAAAAATCAGCAAGACTATTGTCCTTATGGACAGAGGTGTGTGGAAGACACCTCTATTAAAAAATACACTCAAAATAGTTACTTGGCTAGGGGAGATACCATATCACCAAGGTGGTTTTCCCAGGGCAAGTCTTGTCCATTGCACTCAGATAACCTGATCCCTGAGATTTCTCCAAATGCAGGAAATTCAACTGCATGATTTGTGGCAGTGGGGGACTGCATTCCTGCTCTCCCTGAAAAAAAAATTTAAAATAAGTAAAGAAAAATTTTAAAGTACACTTTACAGACAATATAGAGATGGTTGATATTTCTGTGGCATTATAAATAGCTCATATTTCAAATAAAGTTATAAATAGAAAACTGATAAAGAGAAAATCTCCTTTTACACGAAGCATTTTGAAGTTTCAGAAGATTCACATGAACACATGAACAAAAATGAGGAAAACATATTGGAAGCTACTCAGTTGTATGTGAAAAGTCTTTCCATGACAAAACTTTCAAAAGCTGTTTAAAGGCATATTTTGCAGAAAAAAAAATTAACCAGCTCTCCCTAGTTCTCATTTGCATTTCTCCCAAGTTATGGTTCCAGGGTGCTAATTAAGAGAGTTTTCATATGGAAATTTCAAGGGGAATGCTGAGCCCTAGATTGGACACTGCCTTTCCAAGTTATTCAAGGTTTTTGTTTGATGATGGCTTTACTTGATGCCAATCCCATGCCAAACTGTACTGGATTTGAAGAAGAGGTTCCAAAGACTGTGAAATGAGAGCAATGGCAAATACTTCACATCCTCCCTAGAATGGCAGCTTAGGCAAAGTCATAATGCTGTAAGGGAAGGAGAGCCGCCAGAGTGCCCGGGCGGCAAGAGGAGGAAATCTGGTGATACTTACAAACCAGTTTGCATTAGAAAGGAGAATGGAGATGGCTTGAGGTTAATGACATCAGCATAACAATTGCCACTTCAGCCTGTGGCTTTCAGGAGCCACCCCACTCCAAACAGGAGTTAGATGAGGCTCAGTCCTTAAGAACGCATGATGCTCTTGCCCAGGACACAAACACAGTGCTCACAATCCACATCTAGTAGTTTGCAATTGTCTGTAGCTTCAGCTAGGCTACAGAAGTCTCTCAATGCTTTGGCCACTTTCACTAACATGTACACAGGTACACACAGATAGCTAAAAACTAAAAATAATACGAGTCAGACTTCAGGTAAGAAAGAACCTACAGAATTAACATGAGTAGACACATGATAAAGTTATAGTCTTTGGTTAAATTCAATGAGTGGTTGAGTAACTGCTCTTGGGCACTTTAATTAAAACAGAAAAATGTACGTATATTCCTTTTATTACTTGTTTTAATATTGATGATTGCAAACCATTAAGAATTACATTGGAAAAGATATAACTGACCCAGTTTGAACGATGAAAATAATTAGCAAGTATTCAAGTAGCTTATATTACTGACAGAAAGAAAAATATACTTTGAAAGTATTTATGTTAGCATCGTTAAGTGTAAAAGAGTTAGGCTGCCCATCAATCCTGAGGACCTGAATTTGGTAGACTGGACACTGAATCCACACGTTTAAGGAGAGAACCATCTCCACATATTGTCCTATGACCTGTGTGCATGTGTGTGCGTGCGCGCGCACACACACACACACAATATATATATATGTGTATATATATATACACATATGTTTCTACATATGTATATATATGTGATACATATACATATATATATATATATATGTTTCATATGAGTTAGATGTTCATCGTTGTATGACACTAATCCTTGGAAGACATGAACAAGCTCACTCACCTGATAAAGAACCAGATATGCCAAAGTCCAACTTGGTGAAGCAATGAGTTTTACTAGGGCTACACATACAGCAAGAGAAATGCCTCAGACAGCTGACCTGCATCACCAACACCGACCCAAGCATCACGGACAGCCCCTGAAAACCAGGAACCTTGGGAGCACACTGAAACACCTGCAGGCATCTCAACTGGCTGGAGAGGGTCACCCCCAGGTGGTTCAGTTGGTCTTCTAGGCGGTTCAGCTAGTCTGAGAATCGCTCAAAAGCCCTTACCGCTTATACATTCTTTGGAAGGGAGCGTCCGAGGGTTTTCGGTCAGCTTCTGGGACTTACTAAGTTTAATGAGCTTCCAAGATGGATGGAAGGGTTCACCCTCACTTAGAACACTGCAGTTTTACCTCCCTCAAAAAGGCCCTGCTTCTTAGCAAGCTTCCCTCAAACACTGAAGGTGTTAATCTGTTATGTAACAGACATGGGTTTAATGGGATATATTCAGGAAATTACTGTGATTTCACTGTAAAAACCAGAGGAACATTTAGTAAGTCGGGTTGGAAACATTTCTCCAGTTAAAATTTTAACTTAAAAGGGGTCAGTTATTTAACTTAATTATTTTCTAGAGTCATTCACGATTTAATTTCTTAGATTTTTAAATTATGCTTAAGTATACATAACATTAAAGTTACCACTGTAACCATAAAGTAACGTAATAGTCATCTACTACACCTTTCTCCATTTTTTTTATTAATTAATTCAAACTATTTACTTGATTAATCATCCCGCTTCCATTCTGGGCAACTGTGATTGAATTTTATGGATTTTGATGACTTATGTACCTGACAGAATACATTCAAACCTATAATCTCTCTTTTTGTGACTGGCATATTTCACTAAGTAGCTTGAAAGCTTCTCTCTATTCCATTATTTTATGCCCTCTCTTGTTTGTCCCTCCGTTTGTTGTTGGATACTTACTTGGGTTTACCGTGTATATGAATGCTATGAAAACTCACTGTACCAATACCTCCATGAGTCTTTGTTTTTATTTCTTTTGTATAATTTCCACTGAAGGCATTCTTGTAATATATCCCCTAAACTAAATGGATAGTTTAAAGGGAAAAGACAAATTAATGCATTGTTTGTTGAATCTGAAGGCATATTTATGTGCACTAAGACTTACTGTCAAGGTTATGTTGTTGGAATTTGGCTAGACAGAAGCTGTAATAATAACCCCGATACATTTTTAACTTGTGAGCACCAAAACAAAAAGACAGCTTAACAATTGCATAGCTCATTTCAGAATTACTATACATAATAATGTGATTTTAGAGAATGTGATATACCAACAATAAAGGCAGAATAAAGGACCGTGTAGTCAATCCCCAAGGGACCAACAGCCATCCAGTTAGACCATGTTCTTGCCGGAAGATAAATACACAAACAAAGGAAATGATGTCTTCTTCATATAATTTACAATCAGATGTTAACAAATGCTCAATAGCCAGAAACTTTTCATATAAAACATGAAGCCGATATAATGCCATATGGCTAATGTATTTTACTGCACAGATGGCTTGTAGAAACTTAATGAACATAGTTTGCATATTCACCATATACACGTAAGTTAGAAACTTAGAAATGAGACAATAGGAGAGAGGAAGCTAGGCAATCAAATGTTTTAAATGGATGCAGAAAAATACGTATCACAAAGCAGAAGAAAACAGATGTGAAGGTGAAGCAGAACAACCTAGTGAAACAAAAGCATTCCATTCTGAAATCATGAAAAATGCTTTCCTCTGTCTCAAAGATGAGAATACACAGGCAATAATTATATGGGTGAGATTGATCATTAAATTAATACATTATTAGCATACATGTGGTAAGAGCTGCTTTAGGGTGATGCAGATTTAATTTAATGACATTGACTATGTTTCAAACATATGATAGGAGATCTTATTTTCTTGAAGATAATGCTTTTCTTTTGATTCATTAATTACTGTGAAAAGTAACATTTTAAGGTGAACTGAATCAACGATGCAACAATCCCTTGTGAAGATCATAGATAATAATCCTGTGTCTAATAAGTTAAATAGACTTAGAGGGATCCTATTTCAGGCTTCTTAAACATATTTCCAGGACTAGAGTTTTCAATCCATTGAAATAATGTGGTAAATTCCATCTGTTCCAATGCTGACCAAAATTGAAAATCATTTCAATTTCAACGTCCATGCAGCTGACAAATGCCTCTAAAGTAGGTTTTGTAAAATAGAGAAAAATTCAAAGCAGATTATTATGTGTAACAATGTTTGTAAAACCAGGTGCTTAAACTCTTAATTTTGAATAAAATGTTGTTTACGTATATTTTCTTGATTTTAAATATAAAACTGCATCTAGTTGTTGAAATGATTATTTCTAAGAAATTATAAAAATAAAGGTATTAAAAGGAACATATTAAATGTGACATTAGCCACCTGCCTAAAGGCTGCTACTGTTAACCATACAAATATTTTGAGGAATTTTGAATTCATAAAAAAATTTAGTGTACCTGAAATTGTAGTATTTTATTGCATAATGTGGTTCAGCAAGATTGGCTCAGTCATCTACATAGACTGATTTAAATAACCGCTGCTTCATACTGTTATAAACAATGCTGGATTGGTCATAGGGAATGATTACTAAGCCAAGATGACATCCTCATTAATGATGGGATGCTAATACTCTGTGCATGAATTCATGTCGTCTTCAAACATGAACAGTCTAATCTCTGTGTAGTTTACTCCATTGTCTTACTAGACCTTCCTATAATGGACTAAGTAATAGAAGTAAATGGGTTTAATTCCATCCTGGTCTTCATCCAGGACAAATATTTAGCTTTCCTCATTTCTGCTTGGTGTTGTCTGTGACTTTTATGCATATAAAGCTTTTAGTATTTTGAAACATTTTCCTTCCATGTTTAAAATGAAGAAGTTTTATAATCTTATAAATCTGTTTTCTACCTCCATTAGGATGATCATCTAAGTTTTAGCTTTGTGTCAGTTGGAGTTCCATGTTTCATTTACTGTTGCTTTTGTTGAGCCATCCTTGCTCCCCAGAGATGGATGCCACTGCGTAGTACTGAGTCATATTTTATACGCTAATGCATACATTTTTTCTGTCATTATTTGAAAAATATGCATAGACATTTGCTTGAAATAATAGGTCTACAAGTACTTTTTATTTTGTACTATCACAGTAACATAGACGCTCTGAACAGCTTTTAGGCTTTTTAAACATTTAAATATTTTGAAACAGTTTAAGGCTGGTTGCTATTAAGCAGTACAGCAATCATTGTCCTGGAATTCTTTCCTATTGGTCTGTTAGACTTTGTGTGTTTTCTTTATTCCAGTTTGTTATGGTGGGTGTGTTAGAAAAATGTATCAATTTCTTAAA